ACCAGCTGACTTTGCTATTTTAACACTAGAACCCCCAAATTTATAAGGTAAGTCATCCCCAGTATATTGACTTTTAAGCACCAGAAATAATATTTCTTTCTCCCTCCCTGCCTCTCCAAAGACAGAGATAGCTCTTTACCCTATCTCAGAACATTAATGAAAGTAGGAAAAACGCTCAGGTGTCCGTGTTGTTCGTTGTTTTTTACCATAGGCTGCAGAGAAGGGCTGCAGAGCTCCCAAGCTTCTGGGAGTCGGGGACTGGGGAGACATCTCCAGACCTGTCCTTCGCATGGCTACCCGTTTGCCACACAGGTGCCTTTCACACTGACGGCGGACTCTCCAGCTTCACCTCAGGGCTTTGATGAGAAGCTGACTGCCTCGTAAAGGCAGCCTGCTCCTTTTGAACGCCTCACGTCTTCCAGCAGCCCCTGTAGACAGCTATGTGTGACGCTCAGTTGTTTCTTATTTCCAAATTTATCTAATTCTTCTGTAGCAGAGTTCTCTAAATCTATTAAAAGTTTTACTGCCTACATCTCTTTTTCAGTCTAGGCGTACTTCCTGCTCTAAACTGTTCTTTAGGTGGTATGTTCACCATGATCTAATTACCCTTCTCGACGCTATCAGTATTTCTTTTAAAATTAAAAACTGGCATCCTTTGTCAAAAGGGAGATACAATGTTGTGGATTGTGATGCTTTACAGTGTCTGTTGCAACTCCTTGGCTTTGCTGTTGTAGTGTGAGACAGCCAGAGACAGTATGTAAACACATTAGCATGAGTGTGCTTAGGTTTCTTCACAGCGTGGTAGTTCAGTTCCAGAATCTAGCCTGCAAGGCAATGAGGCATGGCACTTTTAAGATCTAGCCTTGGAAAGCACATGGCATCACTTCATGCTGTGTAGGGTGGGCCAGTGCAGAGGCCTGCGGTGCCGGTCAGCTGTTGGTCACTGTGACAACATGCCTGACAAGGCAAGCAAGCAGGAAGACTTTGTTGTGGCTCATGGTCGCACAGGTGTGGTCCATGGTCCTGGGCTCCACTACCCCTGGGCATGTAGGGAGAACACCCTGTTGGGAGCCTGTGATAGAGCAGAGCAACCCTTCTTATTGTTGACAGGAGGTACATGGAGAGAGGTGCATGGACAAAGCTGGGGATGTGGAAACCCTTCCCAGGAGTCTCCCAGCAACCTGCTAAGTTTCCAGCCCCTCCCAGCAATCCATTCCATTATGAACCTTCATGGATGAACCCACTGGTGAGGTGGAGCCCATGTGGCCCACTCACCTCTGGACACTGCTGCTTTGGCACTAAGCCTTCAACACAGTGAGCCTCTGGGAGTAAGAGAGCAAACCATGCCTGTCTTGATTGCACACATTGACATCTTTTCTTCACGGATTTATTTGCCCCATGTAAATTTTCTGTGGTAAATGGTCTATTCTAATCTTGCTCATTTTTTATTGAGTCTTTTGTTTATTTCTTACAGAATTTTCTGAGTTTTTTATATTTTCTGTACAAAAGGCTTTTAATAAGGCACAGAGTCTGCAAATATTTTCTTCCAGTCTCTTGTCTTTTACATTTTCTTAACATTTTAAAAGTTGTTTTGGGTTTACAACAAAATCGAGCAAAAAGTATAGAGTTCCCTTATGCCCTCTTTTGCCCACTCACCCAGTCATATATGTACCACTTCCCTCTATCAGGAGTCAGTTACAGAGCAGTATGTGTGCTAGACTCCAAGAGCCTGCATTGGCACATCATGATGCACAGTGCGTGCCTTACACTAGGGTTTACTGATGTACATTCTGTGGGTTTCAACAAACATATAATGGTATATATGGACCGTGATAGCATCAAATAGAATAGCTTTGCTGCCTCAGAAACCCTCCACACACTGCCTACAGATCTTTCCATCCCTTCAACCCTGGCAGCTACTAATCTTTTTATGTTAGCTTCTAATTGTTTTTCTTTTGCAGCACTGGGAATTGAACCCAGGGCCTCTCCCTAAGCTACATTCCGGCCTTTTAAAATTTATTTATTAGTTTTGATTTTGAGATAGGTTCTTGCTAATTTGCTAAGTTTCCTCAGAGAGCTCTGGAATCATAGGCATGCACTACCACACTTAGCCAGTTTTAACTTTTCAAGAGTGTAATGTGATTGGAATCAGCCAGTATGTAGTTGTTTTGGGTTGACTTTTAAACATTAGTAATAAGATTTAAGTTTCCTCTAGTGTCTTTTCATGGCTCGATAGCTCATTAGCAGTGAATGAATCCTTGTTTGGTGTGTTATGTGTATTTATCCATTCAGCTACTGAAGGAGAAGTTGGTTGCTTCCAGTTGTAGCAATTCTGAATAAAGCTTCTATAAACATCTGTAAGAATATTTGGCATGAGCATAAGTTTTCCGCTTCTCTAGGTAAGTATCAAGGAGTGAAATTGCTGAACTGTATGATGTTTGTTTACTCTTGTAAGATGGCCAAAGTATCTTCCAAAATGCTGTGCCACGTTTGCATTCCCAGCAGGAGTGAGAGTTCAGCTTGCTTCGTACTCTCATCACCGCTGGGTGCCAGTGCTTTGGATTTTGGACTTTGGTAGTGCTGTCGCATCGTTTTTAACTTGCTGTTTGCTGGTTACTTCAGATGTTGAGCAACCCTTCATGTGCTCAAGATCACCTGTGTATCTTCTTCATTACAGTGTGTGCTCAGGTCTTTTGCCCAATTTTTAATTGAGTTGCTCATTTTCTTACTGTTATTTTTAAGAGCTCTCTTTATATTTCAGCTGCAAGTCAGGTGGGCTTTTGCAAATACTTTCTTTCAGTCTATGTCTTCTCCCTCTCCCGTTTCCCTGGCAGCCTTTCACAGAGCAGAAGTTTTTAATATTTATGAAGCCCAATGTGTCACAGTCAAGATCATCGGGATTTTCTCTTGTATTACCTTCTAGGAGTCTTATAGCTTAGAGTTTTAAATTTAGGTCTCTGATCCATTCTGAGTTAACTTTTGTAAAGGACGCAAGGTCTAGATCTAGAGTCTTTTCTTCCTTTTGCACGCAGATGCTCAGTTATTCTAGTATCACTTGTTGAAAAGACTATCTGTGCTGCATTGATTATCTTTGATACTTCACCAAAGATCCATTGACTGTATTGATATGGATATATTTCTGGGCTCTGCTCTGTTCCATTGATCTATTTCCCTGTTTTTCAACTGTACCGTACTGTCTAGATTATTGTGTCTTTATAGTAAGTCTAGAAGTTGGGCAGTGTCATTCCTCCAACTCTGTTCTTCGGTTATTGAGTTGGCTCTTCTGAATTTTTTGCCTGTTAAAATAAACTGTAGGTAGAATCAGTTACCCACAGAAATAACTTCCTAGAATTTGATCAGGATTGCATTGAATCTCTACATCAAGTTGGAAAGAACTTGACAGTATTAAGGCTTCCTGAGACAGATGAGAAGCACCTGCCTCAATTGTCCCTGTGCATGCTATGGGGAGGGGGTGACTTGGCAGGTGGCCAGCTCCTCCCTTGCTCCCCCTTGCGCTGCAATGGACAAGGACAGTTTGCTTCAGTGTCCTCCCTGCCTGTCAAACTGCTGTTTTCTACTCCAACATGAGTACAGCCGGGCAGGCAGCATGGTCCTCCCCACTGCAGCCTCTTCAGTCTGCACTGTTACGTTCTGACAAGGAGAAGGCACCCTGGAGTGGCTAAGCTCTGGAAAGGAAGGATCTGAGCCCCTTATTTGCATACCCAGCATTCACAGCAAGCCTTCTGAAAGATGACCTGGTTTCAGCCCTCACCCTCACTGAAACAGGTGTTCAGCTGCTGCCCATGTACCATTTTCCAGGTCCTCCTTAGGTCTCAGTTTAGGAGGGTGCCCTCCTGTGTACTAGAACCCCATGTGGCAGCAAGGCCTTGTTATTTCAGATAGACTTGCTTTGGTGTTCCTGTAACTGCGGTAGTGTGGGCTCCAGAAGTCCTGTAAATCCCCTTAGGATTTTTATCCGTGTGATGCAGGCAGAGCGAATAAACAACTAAGACTGAAGAGCTCCAGAGACAGCTGCCAATGAGGAAGAGCAACCAGTAAAGGGTGGCAGCAGAAACCCAGTGTCCAGCAGGTGGACCTGTGGTGGCCAGCAGCAGCTGGCATCAGAGGGCGGTGGCCAGCAGCTGGCTGTGTCGGCTGCTAGCAGAGCTACATTTGGCCGATTCATGATTTTCACCTGAATTGAACAAAAAAACCCTAGGCAGAGTAGCAACATTCATATCTATGAACATGGAGTATCTCTGTTTATTTCCTTTTTATTTCTGTCATCAGAGTTTTCTGATTTTCCTCATATAAATCTTGTACACATTTTGTTTGATTTTTGCCTGAAGTATTTCATTTTATAGGTCTTATTGTTTCAAATTCAACTTGTTCATCTTTGCTCTTTTTGTATATTAACCTGCAACCTTGCTATTATCCCTTACTTAGTTCCACTTTTTTGTTAATTCATTTTACACAGATGATCATGTTATTTGTGAACAAAAAGTTTTATTCTTTCCCAGAAAAAAGAAACATGAATTATTTAGAAATGTGGTTGCCTTACAGCTTGAATATATATTTTCAGCCAATGCAAGTCCACTTTGAAATAGCACTGGGCCACCTAATGGTGGTGCCAGTATCTGACAACAACAGAGTGTTTCTGATGACCCGCTTTGCCTCTCCTGTCTTTGCACTCCATCAGCTTACCCCAACGTAAGAAGGATCGAGTATGTACATGTATGTGGCATTCATAATTGAATTCATTTTTGCTGTTATTATTCTGAACAAACTGACAAACTGAACAAACAAAATAAGATTCTGAATCTTATTGTGATTACAAATAAGAAAATGCTTTCATTTCACCTTCACTTAATTACTTTTCTGATGCTCTTCTTTTCTTTATGTAGAGCTGAGTATCTTGCCTGTATTGTTTGCCCTTTTCCCTTCATAGGTATGGGTTACTCTTCTGAAAATCAGGGCTGACGCAGCTTCCTTGTTTCCAGGTCTGACTGTGACTGCTGTGAAAGACTCAGGAGAATGGAATCTGGAAGCCGGTGCATTGGTACTCGCAGACGCAGGCCTATGCTGTATAGACGAGTTCAACAGCCTCAAAGAGCATGACAGAACCAGCATCCACGAGGCAATGGAGCAGCAAACCATCAGTGTTGCTAAGGCTGGGTGAGTGTTCTTCCTTAAAAATCTGTGGAAACAATGAGGTTATTTAATATTTCATTAGGGAAAATTGGTAATCTTATTGGTGTTCTCAGGATGTATCAGTTATACAGTGTGAATGTAGGTTTACTTAACCAATGGGAGAGATTTATGCAGAGGTTTCAATGAAGGAGTCGACTTATTCTTTCAGTTCAGTAAATATTGTGTATGTAATCTGAGCATATTACAATATTAGGAATTTTGAAAGATCCAAGAAGAAAAATACCATAGCTTCTGCTTAAATGGCATTCTTATAAGTCCTAATAAAGGGTTGACTACAGCATATGGAAAACTAAATAGTGATACACATTAGCATAAGATGAAGGGCTTCTGGGACTTAGGGAGACTCAAATGGAGATGTGTGAGTCTCCGGCTATACAGGACCAGTGTGTAGGGGGGGCAACAGCCGGTTTTAGGTAGACTTCCATTGGCCTAGGCACTGTAGTGGTTGTAGGAAACTTACCAGGCACAGAACTTGGCCACTGACTGGCTGCATGGCCATCCAAGCAAATGACAAGGCCAGGATATCTCAGCTACAATGCTGTTAGTAAGGACTGAGACCAACTGATCGGACAGGTCGGCCGGCAGCATGTCCCAAACAGCACTGGGAGCTGGGGAGCTTGGAAGGCACTGGTTCTAGTAGATCCCTGTGGACTGGGGTAAGGAGTGTGGAGTGAGAGGAGGAGGGGAAGAAGGCAGAGCATAGCCCTTAGGGAAAGTAAGCTAGAAAGAGCTACGCAGAGCTCCATCACTTCATTCCATCACCTGATACATAACTCTGTCAGACCTGTTTGTCCGTCACCTGATACGTACCTGTAGTTGTTGAGAACCTGCCGCATGCCAGGGACAGTGCTAGTCACTGAGAAGCACACGAGTGGATGGGACATTGTTCTTGAGGTCTTGACTATTTTTTTGGAAAGAGACACAAAAATAGCATTAAAGTGATAAGTCTATAATAAATGTGCCTTGAGAATGCGCTCTTTAAGATAATTATTGTCTCGGAACTCTAGCAGGAGGAATGAAACATAGTTTGTTTAATGTATGCAGTCTGCTTTATCTTCTTACTGGGTCTCCATTTACCTGACACCTTTGGTGCTTAGTAGGGTTTGTGGTTTATTTTCGTATGCCTTTTCCCAAGATAATCTGAGACATTTTGCAAGATTTCTAAGTAACCCTTTTAAAAGGAAAACACAAACAAATTCTATGAATCTATTTTAGAAAAATAGATTTTAGAAACAATGGCATGTGATGGTGTACCGAATTGATATTTTAAAGTGAAAATACTTTGTTAACTACCCTGACTGACTTAGGCCCTGCAAAATATGAACTAGTGTTAACCTTTTATGCTATCCATAAGTGTAATTTCCACAGTCAGTGTTCATTGCTAAACAGTTCATTTATGATAGAAAAAGCCTGAACAATCTCGTCATCACTATTTTATCCTCTGCAAGAGTACTTTTCACATTATCAGAGGTAAAGGACCAGTTTAGTTGTTTTTCGCAATCCATGACAGAACCATATCTGTGTGTGTGTGCGTGTGTATGTGTGCGTGAGTGTGTGTGACAAGGGATTGAACTCAAGGCCTTGCACATGCTGGCCAGTGCTTTACCACTGAGCTATACCCTCACTCCATCTTTTTTTTTTTTTGAGACAGGGTCTCAAAACAGCTGAGGCTGTTCTTGAACTTGAAGTCTTATTTCTGCAGCCTCCCAAGTATCTGGGATTACAGGCACACACCATTGTGCCCCACTCAGAGCCATATTTTTATAAAATATAATAAAAATGAATTACTAAATATGTGAAAGTTAAAAGCAAGGATGTATGAAATATAAGCCTAAGTTCTTCTTCCATTTAAGACATAGAAACCTATAAGAGAAGGCTACTCTCATCCTAACAAGAAAAATCTAGGTAGCCCACATAAATACCTTTTCTCGAATTTATCAGAGACATGAGGTCACAGAGAAAGCAAGAGAACTTATTTCCAGGTGTAACAAACCCTTCCAAGAAGAGTTACACCTTTGACAGAGCGCGAAGGAAGATGGCTGACACAGAAACAAATAACTAAAATAAATGTAATTCCCTAACGTTAGTGTGGGAAGCATATCATTTGAGAAAAACTGGGAGCTGCAGACAGAAGGGTGTTCTCATCTGTAGGCTCGTCCAGTGGTCTGAACTAGACACAGAGGGCTTGAGCAGAGCAGACCAGCAAGCCCCTCCTACTGTCCCGTCATGGAAGCAAAAGGCAACTGCTCCTTCCTGGACATCTCTCATGTGATGCAATATCCTTCATCACTGGATGCCAGGCAACAAACCTCCACATCCCGAGGCCTCTGAGCAAAGGCAAAAGCCCTTCTGTTTCTATGGGGACTGGGGGCTAGGAAACCCTTCCCTCCCCAAGACCTGGGCAAAAGCATACTGCTTCTGGAAGAAGGGTAGATATAAAAACCATCTTCTGGGCCGGGGATTTAGCTCAGTGGTTCCACTGCCTGCCCCGCAAGTGCAAGGACCTGAGTTCGATCCCCAGTACCAAAAAGAAAAAAACCATCTTCCTCGGAGAGGACAGTAAACTCTCTTGGATCTAGGATGCTGAACCAACATAGACACAGTAGAGCAGAGGTCTGCTGCCGTTGAGAGGAGGCAGAGCAGTGCAGCTGCCCAAGAGCCAGTACAGGTGCTGGCAGACTTCGGCTCCCAGGAGCGGGAGGAGCGGCAGGCTGACTGATCTCCATTCTGTCCCTCCAGGACCAGGTGTCCAGAGGCTGAGACCAGGAGACCAAGAGCCACTCTGGCACCAAGATGGGCTTGACTTGATTTCCCTGTAATCTGTTGGTCAGTTTTCGTTGTTGCCATGGTATATTTTTATTTATATTCTTTTATTTTTTTGATTATTCAGCTAACATAGCAGAACAGATGGTTCATTGTACCTGTTACCCTTGGCCACAACTGAGAACAGAACTAGTCCAGAATGGACCAGTAAGTTAAAGGTGTAAATTCTACAATAACCACTGGAAAAAGGGAGGCATAATCAATAAACCAGCTTTAGAAATAAAGTGAAATCATTAAAGTAATCCAAAGGAAGACAGGACAAAAAGAAAAAGAACAAATAGTAGGATGAATAGAACACAGTTAGCAAGATTAAGATTTTTTTTTTATGGTGCTGAGGGTCAAACCTAGACCCTTGTGCGTGCTAAGCTCGTGTTCTACCACTGAGTTCCACCCCCAGCCTCAGATGATAGACTTAAATTCAATCATTTGAATAATATTAATAATAAATCATACATAAAAAAATAAGATCCAACTGTTGCTACCTTGAAGAAACTGACTTTACATTCAGACGCATAGGTAAGTTAAAAGAACGTAGCTGTTGGGCTTAGAAACTTCTGCACCGTGAGAGCCAAGAGAAGGAAGAAATGAATGCGCAGAGTGAAAACCAAAAGGAAAAAGATGAAGCAGAGGTCCAAATAAATAGCTGTGCAGAAAGACAAAGAAGGAGCAGGACGCTAGTACAAGTTGTTGGGCCGCATGCTGCTGTCTAGAACGGGTCTCAGTGGATCTAGGATGTGCATAGCCAAGCCCGCCTCTGAGAGACTCAGCTTACTCCTAAGAAAAGCAGTTCCTGTTAGTCCTTGCCTGAACCTGCTCTGAGCTGGACTAGCTCTGTTCTCTGTTGTGGCTGAGTGTAACGTGTACAAGAAATCACCTCTTCTACTGTGTCAGCCGAAGAATCAAAAAATAAATAAAGATAAAAGAGCAAAAATATGCGATGGAAACAATAAAACCTGACCAACAAATTACAGAAAATAAAACTCCAAACCAGTATCACCCATAAACCAAAACATAAAACTTTTTCCAATTCTTGGGTAAATTAATCCAACAGGAAGTGTTTAGGGGTAAATCTAGCAAAGTATGTTCTAATGTATACCCTAGAAATTGCAAATCAGTCCAGGCATGCTGCAGTCCCAGCACTCAGGAGCCTGAGACAAGGGATCACTGCAAGTTAGAGGCCAGAATGAACTATACAGTGAGGCTGTCTCAAAAACCAAAACCAGGCAGGGGATTTAGCTCAGTGGCGCTGCCGCCTGCCTCGCAAGCGCAAGGTCCTGGGTTCGATCCCCGGTACCAAAACAAAAACTGCAAAACACTGTTGAAAAAATTAGAAGACCAGAGATATACTTGGTTCCATTTATCAGAAGACTTAATATTAAGAAGTAAGATCTTCCAAAGCAGTCTGTAGAATTAGTGCAACACTAGTCAAATACCAAAGGACATTTTTGTAGAAACTGATAGTACGATTTTAAATTTTATATAGAAAAGCACAGGAACTGGGACAGGCAAAACAAGCTTGAAAAAGGACAAATATGGAGGCCTTACTTTATTGTAAGATTTACTATAAAACTTCAGTAATAAAGACAGTGTAGCATCAGAGTAAGGGTAGATACAGATAGATGGTCTAGAAATAGATGCAATAAAATCCATTGATTTTTCAGAAGGATACCAGGATAATTCAGCAAAGAAAGGATAGTTAAAAAAATGATGCTCAAGGTGAACACCTTGAGTTTAGTCCCCTGTGCTGTGAAATAAATGAATACTTAATAAATAAATATCCTCTGCTGAGACTAGTTTCCCATTTGGAAAACAGATGCTCAGCCAAGTTCCTCCCCTACGCAGTCTGATGAAGGAATATTTAGTCTCTCTTGATCAAAGCACCTTGTGGAATTTCCACTGATGAATTCTGCAGCTAATGAAGATTGAGTGAATGCAAGAAGCAGTGGTATTTTAACAGTGAATCTCTTCCTCAAAACTGCTTGAATTTCATAAGATTGATATCTGAAGAATTTTGTGCTGCAGGTGGAGACCAGGGCCACGTGGATGCTAGGATCCAGAAGCAATGGTTTCTCAATCAAGCCAGCCTCAGAGCTACTGACAGACTCTACAAGTAAAGTTTATAGGAGTCAGCTCTTGGGTTT